GCAAAGTTTTTGTCTGTTGATATTATTGCTTTATGTATTTATTAGATATTTTGTAGAAGTATGACCACAAGCTAACTATTATTGCGTGGATTATGGATGTCTATTAGATCTCTTTCCCCTTTTGATCAAGTGCTTATAAAGTAGTACACATGATGTTACATTCTGTGTGCAATGATACCGATAATTTCATTTTATATACTTTGGCATTTTTAGCCGCCACAATCTTTTAAAATTAACCACATGTTAGTTTGATAGTTTGTTTCGATATTTTGGAAAATATTGTTTAAATTAAAATGTTATTCAGGCCCATGTTATGTAGAGTGTCACGGATACGTCAAAATCAAAATTGTTGTTGCTTTCAATGCAAGTTAAAAAATTGAGAGTGAGAGAAAAAAGCTAATGGTTTAAATTCGGTTATGAGAGTCAAGTACCTCGTCACTTATTTAAAGCAGTGTTGTATGTATTTATGTATATATTTTCTTTAAAACTTCGGCACAAAAAAAAGACAAAAATAAAAATACGAAATTGACAAACTGAGTCAATTTTAACGTGTCCGTGACACATAACATGGGCGTTATTTCAAGTAAAATTTGTGTAATGTGTAAATCAACTCTTTTGGTTTGAATTTAAATTTTTGTATTCAGCTGTTCAGCTGTGAATCAGCTGTTTTGGTTTGAATTTAAATTTTGTATTGTTTATTTGCGCAGTGTTGTGAGTCGAAACGCTGAACCAACGAAGAACGTTCTGATTTATATTCCAGCATAAGGCATGCCTAAAAGTAGGCAGCGTCGTTTGCAGCTTGCACAATAGCAGTAACCAAGGTCAGCTTGACGGTAAAAAAATGCAGATTTTTGGGTTTTTTGTTAATTGTGTCAAGCTGAAAGCGATATTGGAAAAATATCGAGTGCAACTTAAGTTATTCATTATTATTAAATAATAGTTAAAGTAATTTGGGGCACCTTGAAATATCGGCATCTAGCATAGGTAATACCTTTAGCCTTTTTTTATAAAAGACGGTAAATAATAGTCTAAAGGGTCAGTTGAGTTCTGTTAGTCAACTGGTCCTCTGTAGAGCCGTTGGGCTCTACAACCACGGATTATATCTTCACGGATAGAAAGGAGAAGTCTAAGTGTAGTTTTAAAGAGAATTCTAAGTGAAGTTTGTGTGTGAGATAAGAGAATATAGCGGGAGATAGCAGAAGACGTAGAGTTCAGTGTCGAAGTGCTGTCCAAATTGATGTATAAATAATAAGGATATTCATTATTTTAAACTAAGAATACACAAATTGTGGAGATATTTAAACTAAGAATAAGTAAGTTGTGAACTCGGTTAAGTGACATTATATTAGCAAATAAACAAATGAAACAAAGATATTTGAACCTAAGGATACATAAATGTAAAACTGGTGAATGATATAACAATTAAAATATAAAGAACTATTGATCATTAAAATTTAACACAAAACTCATACGTTTCGTTTAAAATAAGTACATTATTTATGTCAGCTTGCTAAGAGAGCAAGCAGGTAGCCGGTAGTACTGGTAGCAGCGGCACTGGTGTTCTCACCAGATTTTACACAAAGCTGTTCCATGAAGATCTGTGTAAAGAGCGTAATTTGGCACTTTATTTGTGTTACCCTCTCAACGAAACTGAGAAGGCCGAATAGCACTAGGTGAACAACGGTTTGGGGGTGCTCGATACTACCAACTGGCGACAGCAAGCCACTGATCGGGTTGCCTGGCGAAGACTACTCGACTCGGCCAAGGACGACTCATGGGTATAATGGCCAACGAAGTAAGTCCATTGACTTAATTAAAAATTCTGACAACTATTATTGCCATGTTTATCATGCTTCATGTACATGGGTCATTCCTTTATAAATCGGACACCTTTTTGACCTCATTATCTCCGATTTGGCTTACATTTTTTTAAGATTTTCTTTCATAAAATAAGAAGACCTACCTTCTGATCAAAAAAGAACGAGAGGCCTATTTTTGAATTCCCGCGCTTATCCAATCGGTAAATTTTTTTTATTTTCACGCTGGCAACACTATTATACACATTTTGTCAAAGTTTAACGCATATCGTACTATTAATTTTTGTTTTGCGTCTATGCAAAAAGTCGAAAAATTTTCGTGTGGCGATTTTTATAATGGATCAAAAATTAGAACAACGTCCGTACATCAAATTTTGTGTTGCAAATGGATTCAAGTGTGCCGAAACTGGTAAAAAATGTTAAAAAAGACCTTTGGTCATTTGTATGTATCGCAACCACAAGTATACGAATGGTTTTAAAGGTTTAAAGACGGTCGTACAAGCTTGGACCATGATGAGATCCCTGGCCGCCCAACAACTTCTGTTACTGAAGAAAACATTGAATCGGCGAAGCGGATCGTGTTGGAAAATCGTTGTGAAGCAATAAGAGAGATTGCAGTGTTGTTGGGCATCTCATATGGATCGGCCGAACACATTTTAACTGATATTTTGGGTTTGAAACGCGTCTCTTCTCAGCTGGTGGCAGAAAAGCTGAATTTCATTCAAAAAACCGCAGTTATTGGCCAAAAACTTTACCCATATCATCAACCAAGCACCGTACTCTCCATATATTGCCCCGTGTGACTTTTTCCTCTTCCCCCGACTCAAATTGCCATTGCGAGGAACGCGTTTTGAGACCATAGAGGCCATAAGGTAAAAATCGCCACACGAAAATTTTTCGACTTCTTTGTATAAACGCAAAACAAAAACTAATCGTACGATATGTGTTTAACTCTGACAAAATGTGTATAATAGTGTTGCCAGCGTGAAAATAAAAAAAATTTACCGATTGGATAAGCACAGGAATTCAAAAAATTAAAATTCTCGTTCTTTTTTGATCACAAGGTATATCTCAGAAAAATTTTGAAATTTTTTTCCTAGGAGATATGGACCCATGGGGTTTTGACAATTTGAAATTTGAAATGTGTTGCATTTTAAGCACTAATATTAATCATTGAACATTTTTTTCCAAATGTATCCCTAAAATGTATAAATGAAAACTTTATCAATGATTTAAAAACTGATGACATTGTAGTAGAGTGTCTAGCAATATTATTTCCATGACTGTTGCAATAAAAAATAAAGGAAGACATAATTTATGGACCACAAATCCGGTACTGAAACTGCCACGATCGATTTGCCAATGGTGCAATGCAATGAGTCGACGTGAGTTTATACAAGCTTTAGCATGAACCAAAAGATTACAGAGAATGTGTGCTGACCACGAGTAGAAAATGCTTCTTTGCCGATTTGACTATAGCTTCCCATAGACCACCTTGTTGTGGTCACATTTTATTAGTTATTTTATGCTTTTTAATGGCATTCCATCATGAATTTTTTCTATGATAAATGGATAATTTTCAAAAAATGCTACACTTCGGCATATGGAGTCCTACTATTAGATTTAGTTTATACATATTTTTAATAAGAATTTACTTGATAAATGTATTGATACAGTTTTTATTTTTATTTTATTAAGTAAAATCTTTTCAAACACTTTTTATTTTTTTTTTAATTTTTTGTTAATAATTTGTTTAAAAAAATATCTTTTTGATATACGGAATACAATATATGTTGTTATTATATATATATGAAATTTTTATCACTTCATTTATTTGTTATTATATATATGAAATTTTTTTTAACACATTTATATATCAAAACATTTTTAGATTAAATCATTTTTAATGTAAACTTTATAATACTTTACATAAAGTCAAAAAATATTTTTTTTAATATATATATGTATAAATAAATTCATTTGTCATTCATATATTATTGTATATATTATTCTACAATCCCTGATATAAATCATTTTTAAATTGTTATAACGAATACTCATTGATTTAAAGTAATAAAGACAAACACCTTTTATAATTTTCAAATGCGTTATTACATATAATTATAGAATTTATTTACACATTTTGGCGTGCATTTTGTTTTATATTTTATTTATTGTTTGTTTTAGTTATTTTATTATTTTGTTTGTTTTATTTTTTGTTTGTGGTTGCATACATTGCAATAAATCTTTATCGAGGTATTTTCGATAATTTTAACGTAGTGTAAATTAATACTGTCCAATTCCTTTTCTACTGTCCTTTTCTACTGTATTAAAAACGCATGTGTGGTTTGGACCATGGTTTGTCTAAAGCATGATATAGACGATGAAATTTGTTTGCAAACAAGGTTTGCTGGCTATCAAATTGCATCGTCTATACTCAAGTTTGCAAACCAAAATTTGGTTTGCAAACTAGTTTGCAGTGAAATTAAAATTTTTCAATTATTTGTTAAGTTTGCAAACATGTTTACTTGTGTATATCGAAGTTTGCAAACTTCTCATAATTTAAGAATTTTGGTGAGCGTCGGACAAGCAAAGATTACAGAAAAAAATTATTAATTCTTGGTAAAAAGAAAAATAAATGAAAAATAATTAAAAAATTGCTAGACATTAGACAATTATTGAAGAAGTTTATATATTTTAAAAATTATTTTGTGCTAAAAACATTTTTATAGTAAGCTTTAATATTTAAACAATTATTATATGAATAAAAATTTTAAAATGTAACATTAAAAAATTGAAACAAAAATAATTTTAGTTTAAAAAATGAAATAAATAACAGGTTGCTATGATCATCACCTCAATTTCTTCAGTTTCAATTATTGTTTTGCACTCTGTACTTACTCCGCTGTTGATATTAACGCTGTAGAAAATAAATAAAAATGAAGTTTGCCAACCTTGTTTCAAAGTGTATAGCAAAGCGCATATTCGGTTTGCAAATTTGGTTTGCAAACAAATTTCATCGTCTATATCATGCTTAAGTATTATAATTGATAATAACTAGAAAAAAAATTATTGTGAATTCACAATTTGGAACTCATTTTGTAAATGCGACTCGTTTTACTTTGACTTTTCTGGTCTTTCATTTCTGTTTTAAGTTGTTCGTGTTTATTTTCAATAAAAGGAAAAAATTAATAATTGGTTGAAATAAAACAAGACGAAATATTTATTCAATAAAAATTGTGATTTAAGTGTATTTGGAGAAATAAAATAAAGATTCGCATAACACTATGAGTGACGATGACAGGGATATTGACATTGAAAGTGACGTATGTGCAAATGTATTGTTTATGTGTGGTGTCTCATGAAATTGTTTTGTTTTTAGGATGACAACGACTCGGACACAGGAGCAATTTCCCAACGTCACACAAACACTCAAAACTTCACACCGGTAAAAATATTAAAATATAATTACAAATTAAATAATAATAAATTAAAATATAAATAAAATTAATTATTCATGCTTATGTCATCTTGGGACAACGCCATGCATTTTTGCAATTCTTTAATTGTCATAGTGATTTTAATTTAATTTAATTAAAATATTAATTAATATTACTATATTAAGTATTATTAAATATTAGGAAATCTTAGGTTTAATTTCAAAACAAAAGTTATTGGTCAAGACATTTAGAATTAAGTTCGAATTCATAACACACATTAAAAGATTCGGGGTTTGATTCAAAAACTGCCAAACATTGAATAGATCCTCTTAATCGCATAGTACAAAACAAAAATAGCTATTTTAAATTTAAATTATATACGATAAATTATGATTATTGATTATAACTTTGCAGGCGGAAAAACGAGCTCATCACAATGCATTAGAGCGCAGACGACGGGATCACATAAAAGAGAGTTTCACTAGCTTACGAGAAGCTGTGCCGTCACTCAAAGGCGAAAAAGTAGTCAGTTTTGTTTTAAGTTTTCGGATACGCATTTCATTTTTTATTTTTGTTCTATGCAAACCCTAGGCAAGTCGGGCGCAAATTTTGAAAAAGACCACTGAATGCATACAGAAGTTTAGAAACAAAATCCAGCAGAACCAAAAGGATGTTGAAGAATTAACTAAGCAAAATGCAGACCTGGAGAAACAAAGTATATATACTTTATAGATTTGCATTATTTTTTTAAATAACTTGATTATATTTTCAGTTCACTTGTTAGAAGATGCTAAAAATGGTTACAGTATAGATCCTGCTGAAATTCAGCAACTGGCGCAAGCAGATCAATCCTCACAGCATGACAGTTCCGACAACGACGAGCAGGACTTTAGTCGCCGCAGTAAAAAAATGAAAACTTCTTATCAATCCTAGTTAGTAAACATCTAACCGAGTTTTATAGTTTAAGTTGTGCAAATTCGTTGTAAATTGACAATTTATAACATGTACATAGTTTGTAAGTGATTAAAGATTTATTTTAACTGGACAAGAAATTTAAAAAATCGTTTTTAATACAATATTTTTTGAATTTGAAATTCTTAATTTGTAAATACACAAGTCAGTGTCTTCGATTTCCATAGCTCATCTCATTTTGATCACAAAATACAGCAACAAAAACACGAACAAAACGAACAGGAACATGTAGCACATCTGCCTGCCTCCGCCCTTTTTACTCAGCCTCAGAACTCTGCCCATAGTTGTACCAAGAAAGCCGCCAGTTCGATCCATGTCGTCATCGATACCACGCAATAATTTGTCCTGATATCGAACTTCATTGCCAATGTCGATGGTTAGTGATTTTAGTGCACCAATTTTTTGTTTGAGCTCCTCTTCGGCGCGCTCGTTTTCTTGCTCGAGCACATCATTGGAAGCACTGACACTAGGATTTTGATTAAGCGGTTGATACGGATAGTTGTTTCTTCTCATATTTCCTGAATTCGCCACGATGTGTTAAAATTTATGCAATCCTAAAATACTTGATGAAGCATGGAATGTTTTCAAAACAATTTGGTGAAATTTAAAGTTGACACGTCAGTTGTAATAAATTGCCAGAAAATTATAAAACACATACAACCGATGTTTTAATATTAATTACTACCACTTTACTTAATATTTTTTACTAATCATTCAATGCGTCAGATAATGTTTTCTTTAATATTATAAAATTAACAAATCTTTGAACTGCCTTAAAAATAATATTTTGACATTAATTAGATTTAGATACAATTCACAATAGTAAAATACGTTCCAATTTTCTATTTACCTTCACAAATTTGTAATTTTTAGTATATATTTTATGTATTTTTTTATTTTGATTGGGAATTGTTTCTGCTTTGTCAACTTTTTGGAAGGTACGCTTTAGAAATATTGTGCTTACAAAAATATGTCTTTTTACAAACATTTGAAGCTCCATTCCGTTCGGAAATGTGGCAAAAAACAAAATGTCCCTTGTTCACATATTGCTATCGCTATTGCGATTCTTTAAATATTTTTTCATAGACAATTAAAAAGTCATGAACAAAAAATACTAATTACAACTATTACATAAAGTTCTTCTACAATTACACACGCAATACAATATACAACGTATTGATAAAGTTATTCAGAGCAGTTGCTTTTATCAATATTCATTAATATATCGCACATAATAGGATATCAAGAAGAATTAGTTTACATTAACCCATTTTTAAATGTGTCCTAATGCAATATATGTAGTATTGCAATAAATCTGTAAAAACAATTGCAAGGCATTTATTACAATTAATAGTGCATCTAGAACAGGCTACAATATAGGCTATGTGCGAGTTCGAGTAAATTGAAATTTTCTTGAGATTTTTAGCACTGCACTTATGTAATATGGCGTTTACACTGACTGAAAATGGCTCATTCTGAATGAGTCATTTGAAAGTGTTTACATTCGTTGTATATCATTTTTTCTCATTTCAAACAGCTGATTCTTCAACTTGCATGTTGATTTAATTTTTGGCCTGTACCAAAAAAAATGTTACATTAAGGTTAAATATACCTTCAAACCTTACAATATAAACTGACAACTTGTTTCTAGATTTGATTTATTTATTTTTGGGAAGTAGAAGTTCCAAAAATTGGTGCATCGTTTTAAAGAAAATGCAACCACCAAACATTTGTTCATTCATACAGAATGTGAGAAAATTGCTCATTTTTGTGCTTGAAATTTTATATGCAAGAATGAGCCATGCGATACTCATTTTCGATTTTTGACCAAAATGAGCCATTTTCGGCCAATGTAAACACCGTATAATCATTTATTTATTTATTGCACTTATTTATTATTTTTGGTTAAAAGTTTTCAAATTTATTTATTAAACATCTTAACAATTAAAAAATTCATATATAATCAATTAATTTAATTATTCCACAGCTGATTTATGATTTCGTTCTAATATAAACACAGCAAGTAAATAATATAAAATGAATTTTTGTTGTTGTAGTTCACTACTGTTCGAAAAAAAATCTCCATTAAGGTCGTGTGCGAGTTAGGCTAAGTTGCGTTCTAAATGAGGGAAATTTTAAGTTGTGTCGATAATGTAGTGATGTGTCGATACGTGTTGATAAATGGCAAAATGTGTGCAGTGCAAAAAACCCAAAAAATCTCCCATTTGGTTTAGCATCAACTTAGCCCAACTCGTACACGTCCTAAACATCTTATAATATTTTCAAAATGGGAACATCTAATTTAACTAATTTTTATCTTATTTAACCAACTCAAAATTCTGTTAAATATCAATATTCGCTGCCATACCGACATAATTAACTATTTTCCTCTATTTACATCAATTAACTCGAACTCGTACACGGTCATAATTTGTTGGTGTATTTAGGACGTGTGCGAGTTAAGCTAAGTTGATGCTAAACCAAATGGGAGATTTTTTGGGATTTTTTGCACTGCACACATTTTGCCATTTATCAACACGTATCGACACATCAATACATTATCGACACAACTTAGAATTTCCCTCATTTAGAACGCAACTTAGCCTAACTCGCACACGACCTTAAAAAACTGTGTATTTGTAGAATATATTACATTTCTTACTGGGATATTTTTTTACTAAACGAAGTGAGGGTCTATTGTGAACGTTAGTTATATAAGAAGAAGGGTTGTCAATCAATAAAACTGCAAAAAATCTGAAATTCATGAGCAGTCATTGTTTTTGTTTTGACTGATCGGCACTTAAAAAGTGCGTTAGTCTGTTAAGTGCGAGATAATTGCATTATCAGCAGGTCTGGTTAATTAGGTTAAACTTAATAAAAAGGGATTTATTATATTTGTGTGTTGAAATATGTTGACCTCTGAAAATGTTTTTCTGTGCTTTTGTAATATTACTGAAGCGAATTCAAAGTGCAAATAAATAATTGCGTTTCATAACAGTTGTGCAGTGGGAAAATATCAAGTGCGTTCGTTGTCGGTACGGCCGTTTCCATGTAATCGATTTGTTTGTATTTCATTTCTAAGTTGGATATTTTTAGATACCAAAGTATTCTTGCTAAACACTTCATTCTAATGAATTCAAATAAAACGTGTTTATACGCTGAAAATCATTTGCTATTTTTAAATTAAATTAATAATAATTAATAACACACGTTCAAGGCAGAGGCGACTTCCACTGCCCGCCTGTCACTGTGACTTGTAACCCTCTGCCTTCCACTGTCTTGACTTCCATTGTCGGCGAAAGTTCGATACGCTAGGTGCACTTGCACCCAAGCAATTTGTAAACAATTTGTCAGTTTTGAAAGAATTACTCAATGAACCAGATTTACTACTAGTTCAGGGGGTCAGTGTGACGCTTGTCGATGGCGTTTTGTTGCTGATTTGCATTTCGAAATTGTTGATAATTAATTATGTATTTTGTTTTTTGAACTCTGTAGATATTTTTTTTTTGACGTTGAATTATAAATTGAAATTAGTGAATCTGTGGCGAAGCTTGCGAAATGAGCCTTATTGCAAAATTGGCTGGCTCTGTTGGAGCGCCTGAGCCAGCAATACGACTGCTGCTAACAATCATTGCAGGTAATTATAGATTATAGAATTAATTGCATTATGAAGAATTCTGCTTGCTCAAACGAAGTTGTTATTTATAGGTTATCCGATAGCTGCAATATATCGTTTGGTGATTATGCATCAGGCGTCCAAGCCAATTCATCACTTATTTTTTGCGCTGTGCGGCTCGTTCTTGTGCGTCTTTAACTATGGATTCAATACATATCATTCGCTAATCGCCATATGGGTTACGTATTTGTTGATGCGCTTATTACAGAAGTCGCCTAAGCACTTAGTGGCGGTCAACTTTGTTTTTCATATGTCCTATCTCCTGATTGGGTACTTTTTCACCGAAAGTAACGACTATGATATACTTTGGACTATGCCGCATTGTGTACTTGTGCTACGAATGATTGGTTTCGGTTTCGATGTTGCTGATGGACAAAAAGGAAAGGAATCTCTGTCTAAGGATCAACAGGAAACGGCATTAGTTGATTTGCCTTCATTACTGGAATTGACGGCTTTTGCATATTTTCCATGTGCATTCTTAGTCGGTCCACAGTTTCCCTATAGTCGATATAGACGTTTCGTCGATGGTGAATTTAGGCAGTGCAAGGGATTCGTACAAACAGGAGTAAAGCGTATGTTAGTAGGAGTTCTGTACTTGGCTATTCGGCAAGCAGGGTCTATGGTGATGCCTGAAAGTTACTTCCTGACAGATGACTATCGAAACCAATCGTTTATTGTGCGTCTTATATATTTGGGTATAATGGGTAAACTCACCTTGTACAAGTATATCTCATGTTGGTTGCTCACAGAAGGCGCGCTAATGTGCCTGGGTAAGTATATTGCAATGATTTTGTACATAAATAAATGACGTCGTTTCTTTAAAGGTTTCACATATGCTGGCATGAATGATAAAGGTGAGGCGGATTGGTTTGGTTGTTCTAATGTAAAACTAATTCTTCTGGAAACTGGGAACACTATGGGCCACTATGTGCAATCTTTCAATGTGAACACAAACCATTGGGTGGCACAGTACATATACAAACGACTCAAATTTCTCAACAATCGCACAATAAGCTACGCTGCAGCTTTGGGATTTCTAGCAGTGTGGCATGGTTTCCACAGTGGTTACTACATGTCTTTTCTAATTGAATACATGATTGTCTCCACAGAAAAACAAGTAAAGTTCTTGCATTCAACTGTCAAATTCTTTTTACTAAAGTTTCTGTCCTCATAGATTGAAACTGTTTACGAGAAGGACGTTTTGCCACAGTACGGCCATATACTGAATGCATCGGTACCGTTTAAGTGCCTAAAATTCGCAGCTTTAAAATCATATAACATAATTTACATGGGCTGGTGTCTAACACCTTTCGTATTTCTAAGCTATTCACGTTGGATTAGTGTCATGTCGGCTGTTAATTACTTTGGGTTTGTGTACATGGCCATTTGGTTCTTAATTTATAAAATTTACCAATTTCAAAAACGCTCAGCAATGAAATCAAACAACGTTTTACAAGTACAGGATTCTAAAAATTCTGAAAATGAGAAAAAGGATAGTTAATTGGATAGTTAACGCACTTACAATTTAATGTGAAATAAATATCATTTAAGGACTTAAATTGCATGTAAGCGATGTGACTGCAATGATTGCTAATCATTGTTTTGTTCCTATGGAAAATGAAAGACATTTTGAACCCTATACTCTACATTTAGATAGTCTATGTTTCATCAATATAAAATTTTATATATTCAATTATCTTGACTAATTAATAGAATTAACATTTGCGATTTTTAGAACTACTAGCAGCTTACCATATATATAAAGACGCTATATTTCTAAGTGTATTTGAAAACATTTTTAACTAGAACTATTGTATAATGATTCGAACCCAATGAGTTAGGTTTATCATAAGCATCAAAACCAAACTGTTTACTTAATTAAGTCTTTAATATAAGCAATCGCGTTACTTATCTAAAGTTTAAAGTATCTAAATTAATTTTGCAATTATCACAATCGACTAGATGTACTTGGAACAATAACCGGTCACTGCAACTACTGGAACAGCACACTTTTTTTGGCCGATATATGTATTTAACAATAATTGTTATATACTCATATTTCATCATTAAGTATTTCTATATAATATAAAAGCTTCGTACTCTGATAATTTAATTATGCTAGTCTAGTTTTTTCAAATTATTATTCGATTTCTTAAGTAGCGATTAGAAGTATAAAAGGTAGATGTGTAGCGTAATTATAAACAATTGGTTGGAAACAAAAAGTAGTTTTAAGCTTTTAAAAAAATGTGAAGATGCAAGTCATTTAATTATTGAATTGAAACGCAGGAATAATTTTTAATATAAATATTAAGAAAAGCTGTATTTTTATACTGTAAACTGCAAGTGAGAATTTTAGAATTTAGTGCGCGCAGCAAATGCTAAGTCAAATATATTTTTAAAAATAAAATAATTTCAAAAACGACTTCGTGTTAATCAATTAAGCAATAGCGAAGTAAGATGTATTATTTAACAATTAAGCAAAAATAGACTATGTAGAAAGAGTGGATACAGTATAGAAAGAAGACTTATTAGTGTTATTTTTCAATTGAGATCTTATAAACATTTCAAAGAGGACGATATATCTTCTATATAAAATTTAAATATATTAAACAATTTTGGTTTAAGTCATTTTATATGTGAATTATTTATTTAAAAACTTAGTGTTCCATTGGTTGAATGTTACCGTCCCCACTCCCATCTTCAATCTTTACTCCGTCAGAACTCTTGTCGTCTTCGATTTCATTAAACATATATTCATCCTGATATTCTTTGAGTATCTGACTGGAACGGTTTTCATCCAAAAACAATGAGTAGACCTTCTTAACGTCCTCAGTTGTAACTTCTGTTGCTTTGCGTCTACGACAAACCAGATTTGAAGTTGTAATCAATTGTATAGCATAGCGCAAACTAGTATCAGTAGCAATACGTGTTAAAATGGACAAGGCATCCGGGTGCATGAGACAGTCTTCCTCCTCGCAACGTATCTTGAGAATTTCCTTCATTTCCTTGTCAGAATATGGAACAGTACGTATAATAATCATACGGTCAAGTAAGTCGATGGGAATGCCGTGTGGACTGCGGTAATTAGTACCGCGTATACGAGTAATACCGCGATTTGTGGCCATTATTACAACTGGCGCCATATCAGATTCAAGTGCTCGATTTAGATATGAGAAACACTCAATGTCCAGCATGTGTACTTCATCAATAAATAATACACCAGGATTAATTTCAGCTTTGCCTTCTTCACGCCACTCTAATACTTTATTGTTAATTTGATCACGTACTTCCTGTTTGATTTCTCCGGTATCTCCCGAGAAAAGTGCTAAAAATCCATGTGTGCGACTGTTAATCACATCGACTTCATGCAATGTTACTGTGTGCACAACTTCTTTCCTCTTCTGTAGTTCACCTTCAGGGCATTGCACGAAGCGGGTCTGTGCCCCAGTTGCATCATAATCTCGCGCACGTGTAAAACTGCGACCCAATTTATTAACTTTTCCCGATGCTTTATCAATGGTTATAACATCGCCCGCTTGAATTTTTTCCTTCATGAAGCATTCAATTATTTTGTTGCCTAATTCATAATTAGTTTCCATTTCTGTAGTTTTCAGTGTAACCTAAACATAAAACTTGATAAATACATTCTTTATTGATAATATTTTTTTAAAATACCTTTCCAACTTTTTGACCCGTGCCGGTTGCAGGACGATCTATTTGAATCTCCACCACTTCGCCCTCAATAATTTCTGTTTCTTCTTTAATACGCACACCAATGCTTTTGCGTAATGCCTGTGATAGGGCTTCAGTTTTGTTCATTTCAAGCGAATAAATTTCCGACCCAGACATGCTGGTAAAAGGAGTTTCCGTACCTAATGCCTGTGCCATGCCAACAGCAATGGCAGTTTTGCCGGTACTGGGCTCTCCAGCCAATAGTATACAACGGCCAGCTATTTTGCCTTCCCGAACCATTTGAACAACAACACCAGCAGCACGGCGTGCATCTTTTTGGCCTACCATGCCTTGAGATACAGTACGAGCCTCCAGTACATCATCCAAACCAAGACCGCGTATGTGCGAGTGAGCACCGATGCGCTCAATTCGCGTTATGTCGCGAACTTCAATTTTATCGTTATCAGTCATATTTTTGTTGTGACTCCAAATAAATTAATAAAATTTAACAACAAATTTTATTTTCACGCAAAACTGAAGTTTATTTTAATAAACAAGTTGCCTGGAAACGTTTTTCGCCCGCTTAGTGAGTCTTAAATTCTATTTTTCAAGCAATGTGTCTGTCACAAGTGTTGCCACAGTAGAAAAATTATTGTAAATAATTTTCAGAGTTGTATTAGAAAAATAATAATATGAAGAAGGCCAAAATTAACTTTCAGATATGATTCTATAATAACTAGCTTTTTTGATGTTTTAAACGATTTCTACGATTTCACATTTATAAGAGATCATCTAATTTGTTAAATTTTTGAATTCGAACTGTCATATTAACTGCTGTTGGTATATATCCATATAATACTTTTGCGGTTTTTGCTTCATATTGAAATATGCATTCATAATATATTTGTTTAGCAATTTAGCATCAATTTAGCATGCTGAATAAAAATCATTAATGCACGACTTTAGAAGTTTAACATTTATTTAAAAAAATATTAAATAAACGTTTAATTTAAAACATGTGAGTTTCAGCCGTAAATAAAATATATAAAAAAATATTCACATAACCAGGTCGAGGAACAAATTTATAATTGAATAATTTAAAACCACTTCATTATGATAAATAAAAATCATAAGGGTCCTATTAAAATATTGTAAACGATTGATATAGTTGCAGTTTCTGAGTATTTTATTAAAGACGACTTGTCTGAATAACTATGCTATACGTTGATATAATTTAATTCTCAAGATATCGCGATTTAAAGTTGTGCATGTCAACATGAAATAAAAACAACACATTGGTATACATCCGAAACCGAAATCGTGTTTAATTAAGGGATCTCATTAGCGATAATTATTTAATTTAAATTATAATTGTTTAAAACGAAATTATTAAATGAGGAAGTAGATAACAATTTAAGCAACAAAAAACAATAGTAAAAAGCACAAAAATTAATATTAATTATAGAAATAATACATAATTAAAAACAACATAGTATGAAGTACAAAATTAATGAAAGCACCAAAGTGAGCAATAATTTTTGTCGTTATTTAACAAATCTAAAATATATGTATTTCTTTGGAATTTGATATGTAAAATGATTACATATTCGTTTTTTTATCGAAATTTCCCTTTTCTAAAGCACAGTATTCATTTTATCATTGTGCTGTTTTGACACAATTATTTTAAACATTTTTGCACGGAAATTGTTCCACAAATAGTAACTTATTTGTGAAAATTTGTTAATTATATTTGTGTAAACGTAAATTCACATTATTTATATTATTAAAAAATCCAAGAAAAACACTGTTTTTATTTTTGAATTTATGTTATAACTTATATATATAACATGTTTTTATTTGCAATTATTTTAAATTTTAAGATTACCTATACAGATAGTAGTAAATTATATGCTCATAAATTAAAGTATTCAATATATATATAATATAACTTCAATTTACGAATAATTAAATATAAGAAATAATTTCAAGACGACTGATGATGGACATTTGGCCGTATAGTCAAACCAAAAATTCAATTAATAAAAAAAATAATAAAATTTTGTAATTGTTGTAATTTAATACTCTTCAAACTACTTCTCTATTGAAAATAATAGTTTGTATTAAGAATTTAGTTTCTTTCGTCAAAACTGACGTTGAAAATCAATATAACCTTAATAGAAACCTTCTTAGAAGGTTTAATGGAGCAGTTAACATTTTAAAAAATTTACGTATTATTTATTCAGATTAAATTTAAAACAAAAAAAAAATTTTTGAAATGTATTTTACAATAACTAGCATCAGCTATTGCTTTCTGAATACAAAAAAATATCAAATTTGATACACCGGTAGCAGGTCAATACTACATTCACGCTATCTCATTGAAGCACTTGCTCATTTATATTAATCAGTGAACGTTCACTTTACAATGAGCTCATTTATGCAGTCACCAGAACTTCCCTTAATTTTCCTTGTGGTGAACTTATTTTCAAATTTAAAATTTTTTATTTAAATGAGCTGATTTATTGATAATAAGCTCATTTATTTAAAAGATTTTTGTATGGTAAATTATGCTCATTAATGGTTTATAATGGGCAAAACCGCCTAAATGAGACAGGCAGTGCGAATGTGCTATAAATTTATACAAACAAATTTATAAAAATTTTACCAAATTACTAATATAAAAAGCCCAATTGTTAATTGGTTCTTAAATTTCATTTGAAAATACAATAGTATCAATAATTGAGAAACCCTTTAAAATAATTATTACCCCAAGTACACACTAGCGATTTTTTCTGCAAGTTATAGGCATGTAGACATCTGTCAGTTTTATCGCATGCCATGAGATATACGTTATATACTTAAAATCTGACATATCATTTAACGATATAAAATTGGTTAATGTAATAATGGCACTTTGAGAATAGGTAATTCGTAGTGTAAATACTAAATGATAATAGGTTTGTAAATTTTAGTACGACTTTTATACCAAGCCATGTCACTTGATATTTACAACAAAGAAATGGCACAACAAGAAAATATGGAAAAAAGTGACATGGATATGGATTGATAGATGTAATGCATATTTAATTATTAGGAAAGACGTGTTGTATATTATAAAAATACATTCACATTCATGATTGATAACGCGTACTGTACGCATATATTGAAACCCAAAAATTTGTACTTTCAATTGAAAAAAAATATCACATCTAGCCAATTGTGGTTACGCATTTCGTCTATTACGCGCTTCCCGGCTTTTGTTTTGATTGCGTACTGTTTTCGCTTAGTGTAATGTGAAGTACAATAAGGGAAAAGAAAGTTTTTCAAATAATTCCACTGGTTGCACATCTTCTCCTTTTTAGAGTTAGACAAATGGCATCGAACACTAATTTGTACAGCCTAATATTTGTCTGTGGCCTGTCCATCCCATTATCGCTGTTTATGTGGCTTGGAAATGTCGCATTTTCGAAGGTGTGGTGGCATGAACATGACGGTAAGAAAAAACATATTTCTTTGATGTACACAATAACATACAATAAACATTAATAAATCCTATTGATTTGTGTGCAGATGAATTGGTTATACCACCCACTCGTTGGCTTATGTCCATTTTAGCGCCGATCTTATTAATGGCAGTAGCTCTGCGAAGAAAATCTGTGAGTAAATCGGGCGCAGCGTTGGGAGTTGTGTTTGCATTTATTCTGTCTATATCAAACCACGCGTTCTTCTTCAGTTTGGCATCGTTTTTCTTTAGTTCCTCCAGAGCAACCAAGTTTCGAGCTCACCTCAAGCGCAAATTTGAAACTGATTTTAAAGAAGGTAATTTAAGTTGTTTTGTGATGTTTAACTATTTTGATGTTTCTTCTGTTAAAGGCGAAGGACAACGCAATTGGATTCAAGTGCTCTGCAATGGAGGTATGGCAACACAGTTGGCAATACTGTATCTTATTGATTGTGGAAGCAGCGAACGTCCTATTGATTTTATAAAGGACTATCGCGGTAGTTGGCTTGGAGTTGCAGTTCTGAGTAAGTTGGCAGAAAAGGATTGTATATTGCACTGTTAATATTTTTAAATTTAAGGTGCTTTTGCTTGCTGCAATGGTGACACTTGGGCCAGCGAGTTGGGTTCCGTTCTATCAATCAGAGATCCGCTTCTTATTACTTCATGCAAACGTGTGCCACGCGGCACAAATGGTGGAGTTTCAATACCTGGTATTGTGGTTAGCTTAATAGGAGGCCTAGTTGTTGGTGTCTCGTATTATATATGTGTGCGGTTTACGGTTGCAGCGAATATATTGCTTGTTAGTCCTCCTCAATGGCCGCTTATTGTGTTTGGCGGCATAGCAGGACTTTTTGGATCATTCATTGATTCCGTTCTCGGTGCTACACTGCAATACACTGGCATCGATGAAAATGGTAAAATTGTGGAACATCCAGGAAATAATGTGCGTCACATCAGTGGCTTACGCATACTAGACAACCACAGTGTAAATTTAATATCGAGCGTAATAACTGGCGTTACGATTCCTTTAATTGCATTGAAATATTGGCCGGAACGCTGACACTCGTACATAAAATCTTTTTGCATGCACTGAAATCCAAACGAACAATCAAATATTGACAACGACGATTTTAAATCGACTACATTTATTATCATTTAAATATTTCACATGACTTTCTTTATGTTTAGAATATATTAATAATCTCTGTTATAGCTTTGTTTTAAACTATATATATTAATTTGTCATATTTTAACCCATCGCATATTTTTACTTAAAAATATTTCCAAAAATTGTGCTACTTTCAATGTGACTAACTGCGGCAGCTTTTGTGAATAAAATTGTACTGAATTTTTATATAGAAATATTTTTCGTTTAAATTAAAATTAATATTATTTACTTTCTTTGGACGAGAAAATTAGAAAATTAAAAACCAATGAGATAAATATACTATCAGAAGTAGTTCAAATATCAGTTCCTTACCTCTTTCAAATATTCTTCACTTTCATTAAAGAAATGAGATAAACAGTATAATGGACTGTCATGGTCTGCGTGCAACATATCTTCCTATAAAACATTCCCAACCAAAGCATCTGATTTTAGTGGGTAAAGATCTCACACGGTGGTTTTGGATCCTTTTCAGAGCAACTGCTCTATGCAGAGCAACAGAGCGGATTGGGAAAATAACAGAATCTTACAGATTTCTATAAAAGATTTAATTATTAATCTTCCTAATTTTTAGAAATTTTTTTTTAATTAAACTGGAAAGACGATAATAGAAGTAAACGATAGTTTTTTATTTGCTCAAAACATTGTGGAAAAATTGTAGTTTTCCATTTTTATTTCTTATAATTTTGTTGACCATTTGAGATGCAGATGGGTGTCTTCGCCTAACGTGGCTATGCTCAATACTGTATTTTTTTTTTATAGGCAACGAGTTGATAAAATCAGAATCCTCGTATTCGAAACCATTCGGATTGTCAAAGTTAGTGTTCATGTGGACTGAGTTTGTAGGTTTCGCAATTGCTATCGAATATTTCAGCATGAGATCAGCTAGTGGGGTTGAGACAAGTTGTGAACCACTAGAAACAGTTTGGAAAGTAATTCGTCGTTTTCGTTTGAGTGTAGTGCCAGTAAAAATAATTGGATTTTGTGTAATTGGCCGCATTCCAATTGTTGGTCTATGGGTTGTTATTCTTGTATTTCTAGTTGGCGCAGTTATTCTTAGGGGCCTTGCAGTGGTGGATTTTATTTTGACATTTGTGGACAAAGTTTTATTATGCGAAATTTTTTGATTTTGATCAGCCTTTTGTGTTTTGTTGGTTGCAAGCTTATTTGTTAGGGGCTCGTTAATCGATGACTCATCTAACTCTTGCGCGCCATAGCTGGCAAATAAAGGTTTGCTTGGCGGAGGTTGATCGAATTGTTCATCCTTATTTTTTGGGGTGGCAGTTTCTGGTTTCTTTGTGTGCGGTGGGTACTTATGACTATTAGCGGACAACACTTGTTCAATTTGTTGCTGTAAAAACTCATAGAGTGGAGGTGCTGAATCACTCAAATTTATTTCATCATCAGGTACAAACTTGTTGTTAATGTAGGCACTGCGACCATCCAAATCGATTTGACTTGAATTGACGAATGCCAGAACCATATTTTGTTCTACGCTGTTTAGATTGTAGTCATCATCGGAAAGTTTTGGTAATAAATGTTGTTCCGATAATGTGTTCTCATCGCTACCATCTTCATAATCGTCATAGTAGTCGATCTGTTTCTCAGCAGGTGCAACGTCTTCAGCATCTGGTCGGAAAATTTCTGTTAGCTGGCCTACGTCAGTGGGAGTATTTACTTGTTGGTTGGTTTGATTTGAGGTTTCACTTTGCTTACTTTGATCCGCTTCAGTGATGTCTAGCGCAAACGAATTCACGAACAGCACTAAACATTTAAACAATATAGAATCGCTTTAGATGTTTGAATTTTGTTGATTTCTTACCAATCGCAAAGGGCATAAATCGTATCTGTCGCATCAGCACTCTCATTGTTCTTACTTTCTTCTGAATGAATATTAGAAACGAGTTGAGCTTATATAGCCAAGGAAATCGAAATGACTTTGGTAATGTGTTTTGATTTGCCCATGCGTTGCATTGCTAACGAGTCTTTAGTTCATCATTTTGCTTGATCATCATTCAAAGATTTACGACATTTGATGACAAACTGTTTTTTTTTATTTTAAATTTTAAATTTTCCACATTTCCTTATGGCGCCCATGAAGTGGTTTTATTAAATAAAGCATCTTTGTCCCAATTAAATTTTATGACTTCATTGAGTATAAAATAAATTATTTATTGTCACCATTAAATGAGGTTATGATAACTTTCGGTTTCACACAAAATTTGTGAACGTTGCTGAGAAACTTATTAAAATAAATGTAATCTCCAGAATCTTCTCCAATAAGCAAATTTAGAGATCCCTCTGCCAATATACATATTTTGTAATTTCTTAGTAGTTGATAAAATTAAATAAATACTGTTAAATCTCTGCTTAAAACTTATCTAGTCGATGAGGAGGTATTGAAAACAGGAAGAGAAAATTTCTCAATTAGGAATACTTTGACTACACATTAAAAAAATCTTGATAATATATATGCCAATATGTGGCCTAACATATATATTACTCTAGTAATTAATGTCATATGATGTATAGTGTATATATGTGTTTTATCATATATAAAATGATAACGATTGATCATAGATGTGGAATTTCAACAAAGTCATATTCGTTGGCTTCGGTAGATACTCCAAATATTCTAGATAGCCGAAATGATTACAATTTTGAATTTAAAATCGATTTCCTCTCGATTTATTAGCAGTTAAAATTTTTTAAGCAAACTAGTCGAAGTCATTTTATTTACAGTTAATATTCCATAGACTCCTTCTATAATAACAACTCAGCGCACTTTTCTCCATATTCTTAGTACATAGTAAGATGGCAGTGATGATATATAGACAAATGCTTCTTTTTACTATGACACAATTTTTTAAGTATAAATCAACAAATGCTTCTTCAGTTTATTGAATAATTGAGATATTGCAGAAATATAGTGTAAAAATAAAACTGCAAACTAACTTTCTTTAAATTTCTTTATGGATACAGATGCCAAAAACTTTATTTTTTTTATAAAACAATGCCAAGGGGTCACAAAATGTCCCCTTAAGATTCTAAATGGTAAAATATTTTAATTGTCAAAATCTCATATTTAATGGAATTTTCATTCTATTTTTTTAGTTAAAAAACTATTTTTAATGATGAAAATTACTTTAAGTTAGAAGATTTTGTTTAATTTGCATAATTTCGTATTAACTTTTATTATTAGAAGACACAATCAAACATTTTAATCTATACATTCTATTGCGATAGCCCTGAAGAAAAATTTTTAATATTAATATTATTATGAGACAATTAATAAACCCTATAATATTTCTTGGTTCAAGAGCCGAGAACTGACTTGGTTTAATAAAAGCCGTATGGAGATACTGAATTCCCTTTGTTGGCAATTGTATGGCATAAGCATACAGATGGGTGGATGTTTTACTCTCCATACTACAGAATCTGTAGGTTAGAACCCTTTTTTAATTCCAACTATAAAGTTGGTAATTATATTGAATTATAAAGAAAATATTTTATAAATGTGGATATTTTATTAAATGTTTTTTATTGGTTATTTCCTACAAAGAGTTAATATTTTTCAATTATAATATTTATACCACATTTATATTACAATATTTTTACAAATTTAATACAAACACATATTTGATAATAGCATTTGATTTACACCTTCTATTCTGGATGTCTGGGTCGGTTTTAGAGTTCTTAAACGGTCCATAAGAAGTTGGATTGTCAAAAAATTAAATAGCTTTCTTTTCATACAAATTCAATTTCTCAAAGATACTTTAGTTTTAAAAATGTATTTGATTATTTGAGAATCTTCCTCAACTCCTCATCAAGTTTTAATAAAGTACTGAATGCCTACTAGAAGTGATAAACAAATAAAACATAAATACAGACATGATATGTTATGTTAGGTTGGAGTGGCTTTATGCACCAAAGCACAGTTTAGCTCAAATAATGGCCTATTATGATTTAGCAGATTAGCATTGTTCATACGCAGACTAGAAGGACCCCCAATTTCAGTGAAATACCTCCCTATTCCAGTGAAACTGAATCAACCTGACAAGTCTTTAATTTTGCAATTCCCTAATCTTGCACGATTATGTTCTGTGAGATCGGCAAGAAGGGGGCCCCTGAAGATTTTGAAACTTCTAGCCAATCGACACTGACAGTTAAGAGAGAGTACATTTGCCTCTTCCTCCGCAAAATTACAACCCAGACAAATATCATTATAGGGTAGATTTAGTCTACACATCTTTCAAGTGTGAATATATGTTATTTGTCGAAAAATTCTCTATTTATCATTTGTTTATCATACTTTATCATTTGTTTTATTTAATTATCTGGTATCATCGGGTATCATTTTCACTGGGTTAAGTCACTAAAAGGGTAAAAACTTTCAATAAAAACACTGATTTTTGTAAAATCTTATAAATTAATTTATTCTTATTTTTTGTTTATTAATTAACAAAACTATTTTTTCATTCATTTGTTTAATTTTTTTACTAAATAATTCAATTTGATGTTTTCTTTTTTTCCAGTGAATTTGGCACTGTAGAGACTTCCACTTCATTGGTTTCGTTATTGTGATTTACATTTTCTTTTATTTCCGATAATTTTTCGGTAACTTTTTCCAGAGTTTCTGTGGTGGAAACCAAAACTTTGTTGGGTTGTTCACTTTTATCTGCAATTTCACTCACTTCCTTCATAGGTTTTTGTCCTTTAAAATATGGCGACGATTTAAACTTCTTCTCAGCGTATTCCATTTCCTTTGAGTATGATTTTTTGCACTCATCATAGCTAATGTCTGACCAAAGACCATGCGTGCGGCACTTGGCCACGTTCAGCTTACATTTGTTGTAGAACACAGCGACTTCGTTTTGAGTTTTGCCACATATAGGTTCGTAAGGTTCAACACAATCATCGTCACATAGGAAACCTTCACTGAAGGCATTGGTCATTCCATTTATTATGCCCGTGTTACCTTTAATGCAATCATCACCTTCGCAACTAAACCATGCAATTGGTATTCCGAGATATGGTGGACTTTGTAGCGCTAATGAGTTCGCATGTTTTCCATCACTTGGAAGGTACGTCCTTTTGACATAGTAGCCATGTTCCTCAGTCGCAACCATTGAGTTCAAGCCACTCGCACCCATGTCTGTTGAACTTGACCATTTTGTCTTGGTTTTTGTTTTTGTGGATGAATCAGATTTGTTTTTCTTTTTCTTCTTAGCTTCAGTGTTGCTTGTGAGCAGCAGAATGGTAACTGGAAAAATTAAGTATTGTTAGTTTTCTCAAATATTGTCTTGAGAAGATGAAAGATTTAAATACCAAACAAAAAAATTAGTGCCTGTAATTTCATTTTGTGTAAAAATTTATTATGAGAATTTGTAATCTTTTATCTTGAAATTCGTATCTCAGCATCGATGTGCTTCTGCTCTGTGACTGAGGTCCAGTAAAATTGTATTCTTCTTAAGTATGCATATTAAATGCGGCATATGTTCGCGAATGCGAGCGCGGCAAGTAAGTTTTCTGGCTTCAAGTCGCTGATCTTGAGTGTGTTTACCTTTTTAATCGAGAACTCTGCGATATTGCGGGCACATTCACGAAGAGTTTGGTGAAATTTGAGTGCGTTTCCAGTTTGCAGCTTCTCGGCTATCGAAGGTGACGCTTCTAAATAAGTTCACTAAACAGAATGAGTCTGAGATGTGTGAGCCGGTTTATAATTGGGTCACTTAGTGCACGCTAATTTGTTTTTGTTCTTTTAGTTCCTTTTGGAGAAAAAAGTACCACTCACATTAGATAGATGTTGGCTCGATTAAAGCTTTACTTTATAACTTGTTTACAATGTCAAGACTCACAAAGTTTCTTGTTTCGTTTTAGATTTGAATGTTTAAATTTCTTATTAAGAAGTTTTATTCGCCCAAGGGAAAGTGCAAGCTTAATGATAATAATGATAATAATAAAGGAATTTAATTAGTCTTAGTCAGTCTTATTATTGATATGAAAAATTCAAAACTCTTTCGCGATTCATCTTTGGATTGAACTTCACATATTTAGTGTATTCACAAAGTGTGAATACAAAATATTATTCTATTATACTTAGTGCCATATCTTTGTGATTAGAGTCTGCATATATAATAACAATCAAAATTAAAATAAAAAATGGAAAAGGGGAAAAATCAAAACAGTAACTCTAAGTTATTATATATCACGCCTGCCATGAACAGAATTTATAAAATATTTCCAAAAAATGAAAAGTTAAATTCACCTACATAAATTCAAATCTGTGATTTGTCAGTGCTGATTGGGAATAATATTAAATATGGTTATACACAATAGTCGTAGGTTTTTATATATCCTTCTGAAGTTAACTCCAAATTCATACAGAATTGTTCTAGATACTAACATCTTTGTTCCATAAACTCAATTACAATGAATACTAAAAAAATAAAGAGAGGACAATCATTATTATAAAAATGATTTTCCAAATTTCATCCCGTATTATAAATTTGAAATCCTTTCGGGTTTTATTACTCATCATCAGTTTTAAATTCAAAATATTATTGAAAAACTTTCTTTGTTAATTTGAACACTCCAACTAGAATATTTGGAATGAATTCATTCGATTTTATTCAAATCTATTTTCTTAAATTAATTGAATCCGCTACGCTATATGTCGAGCTTTGAGTGATTTATATATTTCACATTTTCGAAGAAAACGTCTATCAGTCATAAAAGATCTACAGTATTTACGATTTTTTTGATGCCATGATAAAACTGTTATGCATCACAAATTAATGGATTACTTCGCTAAAACACTCAAGATTGATCAAACCACAAGGGAAAAATATGTAACATAATTAAAATTTTATTTCAATTTCTAATAAAACTATTCTTATCTTCCGAAACTCAATCTGCTAACCTAAATTATATTCAGTTTAAAACAATTTTTATATCTTAACGCTGGATTGAAATTCTTATAAAAGGAAATTGACTGCGAAGATTTAAACTCAGTTCAAAATGACAGTACGGATCAAACTAAGCGGTAAGATCAGGAAATGATTGTAGAAGCTCAAGTTATAGATATTTTCCTTTTTATATTTCAGTAATAACACTAACTGCACTTGTTCTAGCTGCTAACGCAACAAAAGTACGAATGCTGGGCATAGCTCGAAGTAGCAATGCTGAGTTGGAGAGTACCAAAGAAGATAAGCAATTAGAGCCACAGACTGAAAATGACGCAAGTGAAGAAGTGCCTGAACGCGAAAAGGACAGCCGCAAGGTACCGGAATATTTGTATACAAATTCTTATGCAATGCCAAATGCGAATAATATAAAATATATGTTGCCTCAAATAAGTTATCCTGTGTATGGTAGTCCAGTTATCGATAACAGATTAGTTAGTGAATCAGAAACAAATTTCCCTTATTGGCAAGCTGCCCGTTGGCCTGTGACGGATCGATTACAATTCGGCATCAACTGGAATGGAAACGCCGGACTAAACATAGGCAGTTATCCGCCTAAATTACCAGTTGAAGCTTCTCAAAAAGAGGAACTAAGCATGCGACCGACTGCGTTTGTGCCTATTACTGTTGTCGGACCACCAGGACCGCCTGGACCACCCGGTCCGCCTGGTCTACGTGGTTCTCCTGGACTTACTGGCCCTATGGGAAGAACCGGACCTGAAGGTCGACCAGGGCCACAAGGACGTCCTGGACCGCCTGGTCCGCAAGGTCCACCTGGTCGTTCATATGATGGTGGTTATAATCATAATAATGGTGGTTGGTATTCGGGAGGCAAACCGATACTGCCACTTTTAAATTCTGCCAATGATGATGAATAAATATATGAATAGTAAATAGAATTGCAATATTTTTTCAGGACAAAATAGAGGTTAATACTTGTCATAAATAAGAGCATTAGCTGTGCTAAAGTAAGGGAAATTGTCAAATCACTGTTCTTATAAAACAAGATTTTATTTTTATTCTTTCGGGTACAGGTCAGGTTTAATAGGACCTATAGCTGAGAAAACAATAAAATAGACAAGTCAAAATTAAATAATTATGGATCTAATTTACATACTATTTAATAGCATTTAATCACCATAACTTAATCACTTTTTTGTTAAAGTTGATTAGTTGCTTTAGCTTCAATACTTTAAAGAAGTGGCGCGCTAATACTAGATCTAGTATAATCATTAATTACCTGCTTCTAAATTAAAATTGTCGCCAGCAAAACTTGTCATGTTCTTAAATATTTTTTATCATCGTGACTATATAATTTTTACATTATTCTTGTGTCAGACATTTGAAGAATTCATTTTCAGTTTAGATCCAAAATTAAATAATACAATAATTCGACGATTTTGACCGTATGTAGAAAGTAATTCAAAGATCACTATATGACAAACTGTTAACCGATAAATAATACCTGAAAGAGTATACCAGGTTTAAGAATATATGCGTCGGTGGTGAACTATGTATGCTTAAGGATAGGCTTGAACAACTCATATATACTTCTTTGAAAATACAAAACTTTAGATTTTATAGATTTGAGTACTCTGAAATTGTTTATTATTCAGAATATCACATGTTATATTTAGTTTTTTGTCTCTTTTAGCAATTGAATCGATCATCTTATTTGTTCATGCCCTGCGATTACTACGAAATAGGCTTTTAAACAGGCCATGTACACTTTTTGGTTGACTTCTTATATTATTGTGAATAACAATAATTTATATTTCTAATAAATATATTTTTTTTTATTAATATAAATTTTGTAGAACTAAATATTTTCCTTAATTCGGAATGGTAGACCTTATTTGAAAAGCATATTCGGTTTGTGATAAGTTTAATTTACCTATATATTGTTTATCTTGAAAATCTTTTAAATATTTGATGTGAAAAAAATTTAGCTCACCTAAGAGGGTTTTTCAGCTAAATATACAAGCAGCGTTTTTAACCCAATTTCGTTATTATTATAACAGGCAATGATTCTCTAATGGTGAGTCCCTATAAATTTAAGTAAGGATTTACTAAGACAATTACGAAAAAGGTCAGGATATCATAAAATTGTGGGATAACTCAAACAATTGTCGGATGAATCAATATAGTTGATAGTCAATATATTGAACAGCATTTTCTCGCTTCTATATTATCCGAAATAATGGAAAGTGTCTAAGATAAAGATGATTATAATGATTATAATGACTATTGTGCTAAGTTGAAATCTTTGAAAGAATTAAAAAAACTTCGAATATCAATGAACTCGTCAATTATAAGTTGTTGTAATGTCATTCCAGATAACTAATTGGGATTTAAAAAGAAAATAAACAATAGTAGAGATAAATATTCAGAGTCGGTAACAAATTCATTCAGCATTCGAGAACAATAACTACCACTATTTTGGGGCATAATGTAGGCATTTGATAATTTTTGCCTTGAGCCTGCCTCCCTGCCATATAACATAAAGCTTTAACAATTATTTTTAATAAACCCTAAATTTAAAATTTAATAAAATACTTTTGTGAAAAGAAAACTTGATTGCAAAGTGATCTAGTGAAGCGTTTTTGTGTGTCCTTGTCAATGCTTGGGAAGATGTCATTGAGATCGTGGCATCTAGCATCTTAAGACTTCTCATCACACGTTAAACTTTTCTAGTAGTTAGGCTACTTAAGTGGAGTTTTATTGTTTAAGGAACGAAAGCTCATCAAATAACATCCGTTTTTCTAAAAATAACTTGATTATTATGTTGAAGCTGTTTTGAGCCAGTGCACTTAAGCACTTATACTCTTTTTTAATTCGAGGTTTCTTCAAAACCCCTCTCTACACCTTGACTAGATTATTGTTTATCACTTCATCAGACTAAGCAATAATTGACCTCATATCTGCATACCTCCCCGAGGAGCCCATAACCATTTTGAGATTTGATAACGCTGTGCTGGTAAGTCTGTCAGATATGGCAAATAATTTCAGGGCTCTATCCTTTATGTATTTTTTGATGGGATCAATGTTGATGTCCCTGAGGAAAAAATAACTTGAATACAACAATTAAAATAAATAATTTTTTTATTCCATAATTCAGCAAAGTAAAATACTTAGTCATTTATCTAGATAGCCGATTGATGTGTTAGTTTTAACAACTTTGGTAGAATCAAAGTTCAGAATCGGAATCTGTGATACAAAATTATGGAGCTCTGTTTGTGCATTAAGCGTTTGTGGCAGCTAAAACACATGTTGTCAGAACATGGAACTACTAAAAGGACTGCAATATCCGGAAACAATTAAAAGTGTATAGTTAAATATGAATAATATGTGAACATGAATAATGAAACGTTGATAAAATTTAGAAGAGAAAATAGTGTATACATTTGTGATGGTATTTATCTGAACTGAGGAAGAAGATTATTAAATACTGATACAGTTTTTCAAATTTTAAAAATTATTGTCAATTTTCCTAAAAATTTTTTGAAAATGCTTGGAAATGGTCTTGAAAGAATTGGGAAGGAAAAAAATTTGTAGACCATTGGCCTAAGAGTGTATGCTTATGTCAAGCATAACAATTTCTTATCCAAGGAAAAGGAATATCAAATAAGATTCGATTATTGGATCAAATCATTGGCCATTGGAACGTTACAGGCCATTACAGCCTCAGATAAAACGTGAAGTTGGATGTTTCCAACACTAATATCTTTTCCGTAATCGTTGGATTTAAAATTTCAACTGTTTAGATTCTTTCCTAAGTGATGAAAATAAGCTCAGATGAAAATCAAATCAATGGATTAATTAATTAAAAATGATTTCAGTATTAGGTATAAATAAATCTTTATATACATTTTTTTTCTATATTTCCTATTGAAATTATTTATTACTCGTATGTGTAGCATTAGTCGTTTCGTTGGCATCGTCGTTGGCAAATATTTTCTTAGCAAGAAAATTGAAGCTTTAAGATACTCACAATTGGGTAAGTAGATTATATAAACATTCAAAAACTTATTCAATTATAACAAAAAAAAAAATCTACGCATTTACTGGTCAGTTATGCTGGCTGCTGTTGTGGTGTCAAAGATATCGTCAAGATTCAAGATACAATAATTACACAAATGAGAAGATGAAATGTATCGAAACCTTTTCGGACTTGAGTTTGGTCTTGTTTGCATATAAATTATTCATGACTCATGCTGTCGTAAGAGGTGAATACACTTTTGGCTGAAACTGAGATAGATGTGATGCCTTTGTATCTATTCTTCTGTTTGTTTATTAACGTTTTAATGTGTTTTTTGCTATTGAATATTATTTAAGCCAAACAAAACAAAAAAAACAAAAATAAATAAATGAAAAAATTAATATTCAAATGCATCGATAAAACTCCAAACGTTAATGAAGAAAGTTGATTTAGTTTCAAAAGTTTAAAAGAAAGTTGGTAACAATAAAGAAACTTCTGATACGAGTAGCAAAAATTAAAAGTTGGCCAAGACCGAATGCAGACACCTTACAAACAAAACAAAACAGCACTAAAAATTATTTATAGTGATTAAACTGATTTAGTTTAAAACTAGACTAACACACAATTTTATGTTCTAATATGTAATGTGCGTAGGGTGTTTATTGTTATTTCTTGCTGTATAAATGCTTTTGCTTATTAAAAATCGCTATATATGAACAAGTATTTTGCAAAAGTTATATTTAATTAAAATCTTTTGTATTTGTCGTTACCAAATTGTGATGACTTGAAGTAGTTGGATCTCTTCAAAGTTACTCAACTGTAATATATGAGTTATGATTTTTAAATATTATGTATTTATTAGTTTATAATGTCTTGATTCTAAATGAGAAAAAAAATATTTAAATAATATATTCACACAACTTCCATACTTCTGCCACATGTGCACTATTTAGTACCAGAATACATTTTTAACATGTCCAATAGCGTCCATGTGCATCCATTAGCAGTGTGTAAGGATCACTAACCAAATCCAAATTTTATTAAATAACTTCAAAGAAACCTAAAATTTGCTGCTGATAATTGCGATAGATAATAGGTCTAAGATCTATGAAGTTTTTCATGGAGTGAGAGATCAAGATATGAAATATTTACAAAATTTTTAGGAAAAGTCTGCATATAGGGTATTAGCTCTCTGGCTTGTGAGTAAAATCATTAAATGCTGCTCTTATTTTTTTACAGAGGACGTGGTTAAGTTTAAGATATAGTTAAGCTAAGTGTAACTGTTTGCAAATATTTTAAGTTTTAATTGAATTCCAGACTCGTTTGGAATTTTTCAATATTTTTTATAATATATTTTAGTATATATAATATATATATTAACATAAAAATAATAATAACATGTGCTAATATTCTTCAAGTACACAAGAATTTCATTAAAAATGGGAGTACAAAATATTTTATTTTTATTAGTAGTTACTAAATTAATAACTTATTAGACTCTAGTTTAATTTTTTTTTAATTGTTTTTAAAATTGATAATGAATTATTTTTTAATATTTAATTTATGACAATAAGAAAGGTGCAGTCTTCATATAGACTGATACAGATCTTTGATGCCTTATACCGAAGTATGATTTTTCCTTGGATCAGTGAAAGATATGGGAAGCAATTACAAGTAAAATTAAATGAACATTGCTCATAAAACCCATATATTCTAATCTTAAATGAAAGACAACTACACGTTTAATAGAATATATGGTATATGCTTAATATATATAAGCATGGCTGATGCCATATATTACTTCATTTTAAAAGTTTTATATTAAAAAGTTTAAATTGTATGTTATATACCACAGGGTTTCAACGATTGAAGTGTTGCCTATTCAAGCGACTATATTTTTCTGGTTTGAAATAATTTTTTATTGATTTAAATTACAAAATTTTGTGGAAATAATCAAAATTTAAGAATTCTTTTACTCCAGCTCGGTATGGGCAACTTTTGCCTTAACTATGGCCTTCACACAGTTAAAAAATGAATTGCATGCTTCACGAATGTGATCTTCCGGTATTTTGGCTCATTCCTGAACAATGGCTTTCTTCAGCGCATCCAAACTGGCACATTTTTTAGTCTCCCCACCTTGCTCTCCAAAATGGCCCAGATGGTATAGTTCATTGGGTTTGTAACTGTCGAAAGCCATTGTATGGCCGAAATTAAGTGTGGAAACGGATTTTTCAACCATTCTCAGTTTACACTAGGTTTATGAGAATGTGAAGAGATTTGTTGGAATGTCCATGATTCATGACCGAAATGTAAAGCAACTTTGACGGTCACAGCTGCGCATAGCATTACTCGAGATGGAAAATTACTTCGGATGGCCATTCAAAGTTTAAAAATTTCGGCACTGCGTTTGAGGCTAGTTTATGTCGAGCCTACACTTTCCGAACCATTTCATCTGACGTTGCTGTTTATATTTCATCCACTACCATAGTGTTTGGCAACGCTGCCTCTACTATTATAACTATTTATGTTACGATACATAAACATTCTATTCTCTTGGAGGTGTCTGAGTTAAGAATAATAGCTGGTTGTGATTTTCTAGCCAAATATAATACAATCATACTATTACATTTAAATTCCATTTCGATTAAATTTTGTTCCATAAAACTTAGACGCAAGTGCTTGTGATTACTTGTAAAAAATATAAACAGCTGTCATTTGAATGAATTTTACGTAGTTGGCAATATCAGTTTGACAGATATACCTGTATGTAGTTGGTAACATTTCAATCATCTAACCCTTTATACAAAACATTAGTAAAATATTTGATACTGCTGTTCCACTAAAAATGTTTGTTAGTGTCTCTAGTCAGTTAGGAAACTAAAAAGTTGATCAGATTATATATGTCGCTCTATCAAAATTAGCGACGATTTTTCAGTTGTCATATTTCTTCCTGACTATGCTATTGATTTTAATTAATAATATTAAAATATATATTTATATTATGTGATATTAACGTGAACATAGCTATTGTATTACAATCCATATTTGTTTTAATAAATAAGTAAATTGTTGTAGAATAAGTAAGATATTTAAGAAGCGTTTGAGATAGTTGTCCAATAAATTATTACAATTGGTGTCCCAACGATCCAAAGACCCGAAAAATTTAATTATATGTGGTATGAGTAAATTGTATTTTCCTTTAAATTAGCCAACTATGTTAATTGAAGGAATAATTTATCATGATCAGGCAACGACAATTAAGCCATCATGGCTTGCTGATAAGACTCGATACTTTATTGAATTAGCTATTTAACATATAAAGTGTTACCAAGTTTCCATGTCATACTTTCTGAACATAATTTTTTTAAATAGATATAAATTTTTGCATTGCTTATGAGCTGAGCAGTTGCTGAACGCTTTTTTTATCGATTTTGAAAAAAATTTTGAAACAATTAGATGCTACATGCAGTGTTTCCACTTTCTTTGAAAGTTAAGATACTGTTTTATTTGCAAGCGAGTATAGGTTTGGTGAAAAGAACGCAGTAGTCTTAACATAAGCGTTAATTTTAAATGTCTTATATTCTTTTTAAATAATTATTCACTTAAGAATAACTTATTCATTCTAATTAAATAATCCTTCTTCGTTGTTAATTCTTTGAATAACTTCTTTATACCAATTAAATAATTTCTCTTTGTTCTAATTAAAACTAAACTATAAAACAAAACAAAAGATAAAAATAAATTATTTTCCATTTTAATTAACGTTAATACATATCATTAGTGTCTATTCACAACTTCCTTGCATATCCTCAAACCAGTGAGCCTTTACTCTCCTATTTAATGATATAGGATATAGATAGTATAGATATAGACATTTAATATGTGTGATAATGTATTGTTGAGTACAATTCAAAATAAAAGTTTTATTATTGAACTCTTTTATTCTTCAAACATACTTTATGTTAATGAAATAAAAAATAAAAATAAATTTATTATATTATTAAATATATTGATATGAAGAGCACAACCATAACTATTGTTCCCATAACAATGGTTTCTGATATGCTGCATTCAGATAAAAGTCAGTTGTTTACTATTACGACTGTTCATATAGTTCATGTATATATATATAGTTAAAGAAAAATTTTTTTAATTAAGTTTCCATACAATTGAAATTTAAATATTATTTTAAATAAATTTGACATTTTTTAATTTAAATAAAAAAGAAAAAAAATATCGTTGCGATTTCAAGTATTTCGTACAGAAAACAATTGCAGATCTCAGCCGGCACGGACCGATATTCGATATTTGTGGAGCAAAATTGGTGTGAAATATGGATTTTTTCTGCTTTGCTTGCTTGGGACCTGCTTTGTTTAAAGAAAAAGCTCTTTAAGATTTGGGCTTGAAAGCTTCTTTGTTCAATTCTGTGGAGCCGTATTATCCACCACAGCGCACATCCATCCATCGCGTATTGGTTTCTGTGTGCACGTCCATCTGTAAGAAATTGTCGGAATAAGAAAGTATAAAATATTGAAATTAAAGAAAAATGTGAAATAATTTTGTTTTTACTTTCATTTTTTGTTTGCGCATATTTATGAACGCTATAAAAAGGCAGCGAAACTCGTCAAATTTGCTCATAAAGGCCGCGAACCTTTCAGTAACTTGGAGCAGCTGTAAAATGTGTGGCCGCGTTTCGTCGTATACCATCGGTGAGTGAAGTCGCTTAAATTAAAGTATTGTGAAGTGCTAATTGGATTTGTAAATATTGTTTTGTACTAAATTTTAGCAATTTTTGTGTTAATATGCCTTTTCGGTTTATTAAATGCTGCCTCAATTAGTAAGAGATCGAATGATTTAACGGTTGGCAAAAATGGTAGAAATTTTGTCCCATCCCGTGCAGTAAGACAAGCAGCGCAAGATCCTGAGGATCCAGAAGATGCAGATTCAGATGAAGACGATGAGGAGTATGATGCTGAGCAGGCACAACAAAACATTGTACAGCAACAACAACAGCAAGAGCAATCATTGGAAGACAGCGAAGAAGAAGATGATGATGACGATGACTTGTTTAGAAGAAGACGTAGGGATATAGTCGATGATGAAACGGAAACTAAAGCCGATAGTGTGTTAGAAAGTTCAGCCACTTTAGAGGAAAATACGATTAAAGAGGAATCAGCATTAGTGGATATTTCGACTTCGACAACACCTGCGCCACCTTCTCGTAAATCATCTGTTTTAATACTTATCCGTGATGCTTTGAAAAAAGTCACAACGGAGCTTCCAACTGAACAAGTTGCCTCCAATGCACTACATTATTTCCAACTCTTCGAACATTTCCTGCAACAAACAATTGAACAAGTAATTGGCGACGATGATGATGATGAAGAATCCAGTACAGTGAAAAATGAAGTTGAAGAAACAGCAGAAGACGCAATTAAAGCTCCGGAATCTCAATCCACTGTAAAACCAGTTATCGATGAACAACCACATACTGTAGCAGTAAATGAAGAGAAGCCGTCATCCTCACCACCGACCAAGGAAACAGATCCAAAGCCTGTTGAAACTCCATCCGCTGGGGTGGTAACGGAAAAAGCAGTATAAATTTATTTTTTAAATGTTTTTTGTTAAAATTTTTCTTTACCCCTAACTTATTTTATTTATTTATTTATTACTAAAAATTTTGAAAACAATTCCTCGGTGTTTTACATATTACAATTAGTCAAATATTTTTCTTCTACCATTTTGAGTTCTTCGTTAATCACTTTAAGGCCTTAAAAACAAAAAAATTTTATCTTTGTAATAATTTTTTTTTTAAAACATCGTTTATTGGATATGTGTAGTACAATCTTAACTATTTGTTAATTTCTTACTATTTTTGAATTGTACATAATAGATATTAAGTAATACGTGAGCGGATTTACTGAACCAATGTTCAGTTTCCAACCAGTGAACCAGTGTTCGTAAAAATGAGAAAGGAACAAACTATCATGTTTATTCTATAGTTTATGGAATTCAGTCAAAATAGATTGTTAAAAAAAAAAAAATAGATTTGATGAATTTTATAGTTTATTTGAAAAAAAAGTTATAAGATCGTAATTTCCGGTAAGAAGGACGAAGTTCTGGAAGCGGTCGTTCATGTAATTTCTGACGTATGTTGCTACGATGTCGATTCGTTTGACGTAATGGATTATACGAGTTCGTTGTTTTCTTGTGGCTCTTATTATTATTAAGTAATCTGTTAAACTGTGATGTTGGTGCCCGCTGCTTTTTTGAAATTGCCTTACGCAAAGGGCTTGACAATATTGGAACATTATGACCGCCCACAGACAATGTTAAAGGTAGTCCCGGTGATGTAGTTATGTAGATTGGTATGGTGATATAAATCTTATTTGGTGATGTATTTATGATTTCTGGTGTCTAAGAAAATAGTACTATATAAAAAATCTTACTGACTGCATGAGATATATGTTTCCTAACTTACCACGTCTTGTTTTGTATGATCAACAGCTACTAAATCTTCATCACCTTCTAAGTATTCTTCTTCGGGCTGTGGGTAGTCGATTTCCAGATCCTCTACAGTTTGTTTACTTTTCGCATTTTCATCAGTAATATTTTTCATCACTTCGATAGGGAAATTCGAGTGTGTGTTATCATCGCTTAATTTTTGATTATTTCTACTTTGCTCTCTATTAGGCTTTAAATCGAGTTGCGCTGTTACCACTGTTTCACCCACTATTAAAGACGAATTTTGTATGTCATTATTTGAGACTAATTCTGTGGGAAAGGAGGTAGTTGTTGATAATGCTAGTATCAAAAATACTGGAAAAAAAAAATTATTGTTGCACTACTATAGTAATTATTTAATATATATTGCAATTAAAAGATGAAATAAAAACAAGCAAAAAGTTATTTCGCATAGTTCAATCTTGAATTAATATAAATATTCTTTATTTGTTTATTTATTTGTTTCATAAAAGTTTCTTAATTTCTATGCATTTTGTGAATAGTTGTTAATTTCATATATCAAAGTATATCAAATAGTATATCATATATCAAATAGTATCTACATCAAATACAAATTAATAAAACTCTGGTATGTTCACTTTTAACTTTTATTTACTTGGACGCAATTCATATCTCAACCCGATTGTTTAGTCAGTGAAGAGATAAAATTCGAGATGCAGGGAATAAATACATACCAAACATTGAAAGCAGAAAGTTAAAAATTTGCATATATTTTAAAGAAATTAAAGGCATGCTCTTCTTGAGCAATTTCGATGGTATATGCATGGGCGTAGTTAAGGGGTACATATGGGACGATGTTGAACAAGTAACTGTCCAATATAAAGACATTTATGGTGTGGTATTGGATCAAGTGGTGTGTTATGCTACAGCGATGTAATGACAAATTTTTTGGTGTGAAATTGAAGAGTTGGATGTAATTTTCATAGGACGGTGGCGGTTTTTTGTTGGGTCACCGTTTTTTTTTTGTTTTTAAAATGAACATTCGTTCAATATAGGGCCGAAATATTGTTTGTATAAAAGAAAATCAAAATTCTGAGATCTCTTCTATAGACATCTTCATTAATGACATAAATATTAAAGAACATACATTTCTATATCATATTGGTTATTATTATTGTATTTATAAGTGAATATTTCGAAAATAAAAATACCTACATTTTTTAAATAAAAATACATAATCCGCGAATAATTTAATAATCTCCCAAAATATTTCTTTTAAATGTCTTTTTAAAGTATAATGAACCCCAAAAGATTTTAGAAATGACTTTATTTGGTATTGTGTAAAATTCTTGCTTGCTGACTGTTGTAATCAATAATGTATTTTGTGTTATACTAATATTATACATAATTTATATATATAAATATATATAAATATATATATATATATATATATATAAGGGTTGCCCTGTCTAACACTAAAAACACGCTGGTTAATCAGTGAAAATGGTTTTATTGTTTTTCGAAGTATTCTCCATTAAGATCAATACATTTTTGAAATCGATTAAATCAATTTTCGAAACTGTTTTGCTACTCTGAAGTTGGTATCACTAACACCAGGGTTTTAAATTTAAACCGGGGTATAATGTAACCTATAACAATAATATATAGTATTGTATAACTGAATTTATTATTATCTGCACGTGTGAGTTGTGATATACGATTACTAATATATATTTTTTCTTCTAATATCATGTATTGCAAATATGCCTTATGAGTTTGAATATGGTACATTTACTCAATCAGAAAGAGATGAATATATCTCAAACAGTTTCGCTATCGTAATAATTATGGTTTGTCTAAACAAGTTAATGTCAATATATATTTTGGAATTGTTGACATAGAAAATATTCTTTAAATCATCAATTAGAAATATACCGCTATTATAATATATAATACTGAGAGATGATGTACATTATCACTAATATTTTACTAATCCAAGAGGGATGGTGGAAAAATAATTTCAGGTATATCGGCTACTGGACTACTGCAGCATTTTCTAATTGGAAACATTTGCAGTTCAAAATGCACCGGACCAATACGCCAAGTAAATGCCAAGCCACAGCAATTCTTCCCGCAATGCGCTCTAATGGAATATACTAATTACTTCACCGAGGGTTGAAAAGAAGTTCTATGTTTTCTCGGATCCCTGGACATAGAAGCGTATTACGATATGATACTACTGATAAGTTCGCTAAAGCTAGGTATATAACTGCCAAAAATAACCACATTGCCTTTAACAAGCTAATCCAATATGGATTGAACGTTTTGGGGCACACTCTAATGGAATACCTGAAGGACAAGTTAGAAGAACTTGACAACTATAAAGTAACCAAAACTATATGCAACGCCTTCAAGAGAAAACTTCTACCTTTTATACCTGTTTTTCTTTGAAAGGACTGCGTAGTATTGATTGGTGTACTAACAGGACTGAGGAATAATTAATTTACTTATAGTGTTACAAAATCCTTAACATAGTCCAATGACACAATCCAATGGTTACCGAATTTATTTATTTACTAATAAACCCGCTGCCAAATACAACAAGTTTCCCTTGATATACTTATTAAAATACTAACTATGCCTTTAACTAGTACAGCTAACGACCCGCGAGTCTATGCATACCAGTTTGATGGTACGATGATTGATGGTATCAATCAGTTTAATCTAACTGTTTCTTCTTATAAATAGGTTACATTAGGCTAATCTAGTTGGCTATAAGTCCCACGTAGACCTATTGATCACTAATGACGCTAGATATATATTTCAAGCACTATTTTTGAGACAGACCCAATAAACATTTTTTAAGATTTGTAGACTAGATTTTAGTGAGATTTTAATACTTTTATTTTTGTAAATAGATTATTTTGATTATTAAGTTAAGTGGTCAGGTTTTAAGAAGAAAAATTATTATACTCTTTTTTGGTATTTAAATTCCACATATCTTTAAAGCAACTTATATATTCTGATATGTCAATTTATTTATATGCACTAAATATAAAGAAAAACTTATGTAAATATTTTCCGATCCAAATAAAGTCTCTTTCTATATCAATATTGATATTAATTTATTTTCTTTTACAAACACACTTTTCTGAAATGTAAATTCACTCTATTAAGTTTGTGGAAAATTTAAAATATAAATATTGCTTTCTTCTTCAATTCTTCAAATGAAGAAGTGTCTTCGCGTTTTCAACACTCCGTACACACCTAATCCGATAGCAAAACGCAGCATCTTATATTCTGAATAATACTGTGCAGTGTTTTGTTAGAACCCGCGATTTATATGAAGAGTTCGCCAATCAGAACTGTGTCACAATGAAGTCACTCAAATGTGATTCAGTGGAAGAAAGACGACCTCTTCACATCGAAGAGATTAGGAACAAAGCGAGACTGCAAAAAATTAATTAATTAATGCAAACTAATAAAATATCTATGCTTTGCCGCATTCACTTTGGATAAATTTGCGAATTTTATAAAAGTCAATATTGCTTAAAATGGTTTTTTGACAAGTTAATATAACAAAGAAAAAAATTAAAAAAATTTAAATAACAGAATGAACTTGATTTATTTTGAACCACTCTTCGAACTCTTTATTTTTGTTTCGATTTTCGAACTAAAAAAAAGCGTTTATTATAATTTTTCATGAGAATATTAGTCAAAATGTTTTTTTGGCATATAAAATAATTATTTTTGAAAAATAAATTTTATTCTCTGTATTTATTTAAACATCCTGTAGCCGTTGAATTTTAGCATGGACAACAACCAAACGTGGCGAATTCAGAATTTTCGGACTGCATCTTTCGATGTTACAAACACAAAATTTGTGTTTTCAAAAATAATCACAAGGTTCGGAGATCTTCCTGGTGATGAAAAAATTAATTGAAATTGAAATTTGTTATTATAACCGATTTGTTATATTTAATTTTGTTATATTAAACGTCACAGATTATATTATAAGTCACATATGTAATTATCAGCAACACACAAAAGTACAAAATCAAACTCAGGAACCATCAAAATCTACTTGCAAGCAACCTTACCCAAAGCGCTGGTACTCAGCGACTCAAAAGAAACTATATTAACCCGGCTATTCAAGAATAACGCCCGACATGGTAA